GGTATCGTAAGAAACCGTCGTTGAGTGAGAGAAGTGAAAATTTGCTTTCTACTTAATGGAAAAACCGAAAGTGGGTTTTCGCGGCAGTTTGACCCGCACTTATTCGAAGGAAAGTACATGACGACGAGCGAAATACCGTATCGCTGTAGCATCTTAAAAGTCAATTCCTCGTTGCGATGAGCTGGAAACAAAGTAATTTCCTGCCTACATATTTTAAATACATGTACTGTAAAGAAAAGTCCATCCAAGCTTATTAAACGACTAAGAACAGCAGGTGATAATGATAAAAGCTTTTTATAACTTTTTTTCTTGTTTTTGTAAAATAAATTGCATTGAATGCATAGACGAACCGATATTGTACTCGTATCGAAGTAAAGCTTTGCTAAGGAAATCACTGGGATGATGTCTGATAATCACTTGCAGATGAAGTGTCAATGGCAGTTGGATTATAAGGTTTTATAAGTTCCTTAACACCTCAATATAAATGTTTGAATTGAAACAGAGTTAAGCCTTTTGGTTTACATTTATACGAGTTATATAAATAATTGTTTTACTTTATTCGAATATTTTGTTTTTTTTTTTTTACATTTTATTATAACATTAAATTTTAAGCATTTTTGGTTTTGTCTTTTCGTATATTTTTTTTTTATAACTTTTAAATCGTCCTTTGGCATCAAATATTTTAATTTTATATGTATTTGTAAATATACATATATGTATATTTAATTTTCATCAATAAATCAGTAGCTTGCTAAACTTTTTGAGTAGAAACTATGACATAATAATACTTTTATATAAAAATTTCATTTCACTTTTTATGACATTGAAGAGCATGACGAAGAGGAATGAATGAAATGAGAAATGAATTATGCTTTTATAGAGATAGAAAGAGAGAGAGAGAGAGAGAGAGGGAGAGAGAGAGAGAAAATTCTGCTTAAATATTAATAATAACGTTTTTATTCATACATAATATATAATTGGCCACAGATTGATTTCAATTTTTATTCTTTCAAAATAATTGTTTAATATTTAATTTAATTAACGTTTTATTGCATTTTATCGTTATATAATGGTTTTAATAATTTTCTTTTTTTTTATGTATAAGTATTTATATAAAAAAATGTTTTATTTAGGGATGAATTTATTTTTAAGTGAAAAATTTGAACTTAACGTGGTTTTCTATATAAAGCACTTTATTGGAAATCAGGTCTTTCAACGCACGACAAAATAAAAAAAAAAAATAATAATAATAATAATAAATCAGCGATAATTACTAAAATCTAAGAATGATTTTCAATTAAAAAAAAAAAAAACAAAATAAAAATCTTATGAATTAAAAAAATGTTCCTTAAATATTATTCATTACGTAGCCATCAATTATTTTCATTAAATCCTGGCTATGCTTAGAGATTAAACTTAAAAAAAAATAAAAAACTGTGTACAAAGTTGCAAAAGAAACTGCGAGAGGGGAGGTAAAGATGTATAGAAAGTTGTGAACGAGAAAAGAAGAAACAAAAAAAAAAAAAAAACAACACTTCTGACAAAATTAAAAGCAAACACTTGAACTAAAACGGTTTCGAAAGTGTTTCCACAAAAGACCCTCATTTAAAGTGACAAACTTGTACAACTTCCGGTGACAAGTTGCAGCAGCAGCTGCTGCTTTTGCTGTGCTCTGCAACCGAACGCTAAATTCTTGCTAAAATGCAAAGACATTACAGCAAAGCCCAACAACCAATGCTTGGCAGTGTAGAACGACGTTAGCGAGGTGGCTGAGTTAGCATTAGCAGGGGTAAGTGATAGTGTATGGAATTTTTCAACTTTTGTCCAATCACTATAGCCGGCCAAATTACGAGAAGCAGCACGCACCAAATATGAAGTGTTGGCTTCCAGATTGCTGATGAGAAAAGTGGCGCCTAAAAAATACAAGGAAACTATGTAAGAAAATTCTGTTCGCTGTAGGTCGAATCTTTTTCTCCCCTATTGTCGGATATCGGTCGTCAAGCTTTGATAAAAGAAATGCGAAACAAATTTGTTGGTACTAGACGCATCATAGAGCCTATTGAAGACAATTTTGCATTGAATTTGATTTTTAATTTTGGGTCTAAGAAATCATTTAATAAGGTTGTAGGATGACATATAGATTTGAAACGACTATTGACGAGCCCATGTAGCACTGTCCATTACCACTGATTTTTTGATAATACCATTTTTCAAGCGAAATGACAATTAGTTGCCAAGTTACGCTTGCTTCACGGACGGCACACATAAAAATTCAAATTTTGTACTGTTTTACGGAGACATCGAAGTGACGATAGTCCATATTGATTGAGGCTTGTGCGTTTGTTTTTTTTTTCTTAAAATTTTTGCTGTAAGCCCAGCTTTGTAACTTTAAGCTTTTCCTTTACAAATTTCTCCAAGTGTTACTAATTAAATGACAAACTTAGTATACCTGTTACACCTTGAATATTAGACAAAACAAGAAAAAAAAAAAAAGATTATAAAAACTACGTCGGCTGCTTGTCAATAGTTTTTATGACATTCACACAATTTTTGTCATTTATTCGTTTGCCACTTACCCTCTTCGTAGGCGAATTCTTTACGTTTGGCATTTGTCCATTTACCCAAATCCTTTTTGAATTCCAATTCAGTCATATACTCAATACGATAGCCGGTAACTTTCATTAAAGGATCGGCTACATCACTAGAGCGTGGATGATTAACCACAATGTCAAAGGTATTGGAATTGTAGCCCCGTAATTGCATGTCCTTCGGTGTCGGTGGCTTTTCACCTCTTTTCAAAATCAAAGCACGTTCGATGCTGCCCAAATGATTTTTAACTTTGCATTTGTAAACGTTGAAAACATCTTCATTATCGACTCTAATATGCAATGTCGATACGTAATTTCCACTCTCAATTCTATAGTGCTTGTCATTATGTATTTGCTTTTTGCTACGATACCAACTGAAATTGGCCGGCGGCTCAGCAATTGCTTCGCACTTTAAAGTGGTCGTGCCATTGATGAAAGTGTATCTCTCCTTCACTACATTCATATAAGTCCAAATGGGTTTATCTATTTATAAAAGAAGACATTCGTTGAGCTACGAGTGAAACAAGGCAGGTATACGTAAATTCGCACAAAACATACATACTTTCAATAAATTACTAAAGTTTTTCAATTCGTAATGAATTTCAGAGTCAAACTTTTTCTTATAATTCGTTCAAGTATTAATGTTGTTTTTTTTTGTTATTCATTTATGTGTTTCGGAAATAAAACTTTCTTAATTAACACTGAAATCAATGCTGCCGGGGAAGAAAGCGAAACAAAGTCTTGTGCCGGTACTCTTCAAAACAGATGAAGTATTATTTTTCTTCGTTTTCTCGAAACTTGTCAATATCGAGTAAATGGAAAATACACTCTTGAAACTTATGGTTACATTGATTGTTTAGATTGCTTTAGTCAATACTTGTGCTGATGGAATATTTCGACACCTTTTCTCTGCTTCAAGAAGGTGCAGAAAATTCTCAATGAAAGCAAAAACCGATAAGTAGTTGTTAAGGGCATATTTCAGAGAAGTTTCAACAACTTTTAGCCAATCATTATTCCTTTGAAATGCAACCATTGATATTCAATTATACCGAATAACGTCATTGATGGTTAATAAAAATGAATTTGAAAATTCATTTTATTATTTACTACGCTAAGCGCGCAGCTGCTATTTTTCAAATTTGGATTGGATTGGACTGCGTTTTCATCACAGTTTGTAATTTTTTTTTTTTAGCTTAACACAAGTAACAAGTGATAATAGGAGCTAAAGATTCGGATTGACAGTTCACTATGAACAATCTTAGTAGTAGTAAGGCTTTAGTGTTGTTAATACCGAATTCTAACTTTAGTCACCCGTTCTTCTTCTCAACTCTGTTAAAGGTCTTTCCATCAAAGACACTTTGGAAAATGCTCAAAGATGAGAACTGTGTGGAGGACATGTGGAGCACTTATTTACAAGAAATTTATTTCATTTTCTTAATTTTCATATATGTTTGGTTTTGATTTTTCACATTTAGAAAAGCGAATCGGAAAGCAATAAATGTACTACAGCGGAGTTTAGTGAATTTAGCTATCAATGATGCTAAAACGATAACAAGTTTGGAAAGATATTTGCGATGTCCAAAATAAGCCAATTACATCATGCAAAATTTACGATAGTTGGCAATTGTTTTTCTAACACTTTTCTTAACGGCTTAAAGGATCTCTTCGATAATGCGGAATGCTGCCCAAAATGGTTTTTAGGGATCGAATTCCTCACAGCTCAAAGAGTAGATTTCTTTTCAATTCAAAATTCACCGACCCACCTACTTTAATAAAGGATGTGTATTTTTTTAACTGTTTAATTTTAATCGGTACTTTAATAAGTTTTTTTTCCAAAAATTGTATTTTTTTCTCGAAATTCGACGCCATCTTTATAAATAAAGCAATCACTCCGTTTTTAAAAAAGAAAAAAAAAAGCTTTTTTTGAAACAACTCACGTTTTACCTTACGTGCCACCGTAGCATCTTTAAAAATCGAGAAAAAATCCAATCGTAAGTACATCCTCAACGAATGTGCAAACATACGGATACGTTGGTTAGTTTTACGAAAGCAAATTCAGACGAATTAAGCTTATAAGGCTTTTGCCGTTATGTACAAAGTAAAATAATCCCCCAAAAATTTAGAATAGTAGTATCATACCATAGTAGTATATAGCCTTTGAGAATGACGAGTTTGCAATAAGTAAAAAAATCGGCGAACTCTTTACACGACAGAGAGGTCTTGTTTTCAATACACAAGTTATGATGAGAATTGGTCCTTAGTTGCAGGTATAATACGGTGATGGTCAGAAAAGAACCGTGTAAGGGGAGGAAATAGGTAATGGGGCCGCAGCCAAGTGGTCATGTGCCTAACAGGCAAAAGTTATGCCTTTATCGAGCAAACACTCACTAAATCTATGACCAACCATGGATAGTTAAACAGCTCGGAGATTTTAACCCTTGATAATCGCGACTCTTATCTACTCGACTATGCCGCAATGTGAGCTTTAAACATTGATCATATTAATCCAAGCAGTAGCTACCGATACTCGACCACAATAAGCTTTGGCCATCGTTAAAAAGCAAAGCTCCTTTCTTTTGGTTTTAGCCTTGAGAAAATTTGTGCAAATCAAAATGATCATTTCGCACTTTGGTTAACGCCCCCTTAAATATCTGCATTCTTGTTGCGAAGAAGAATACTTCGAGAGCGTAAGGTAAGTAACCAAGTACTTAGTTAATATGAAAAACTCTTTGAAAAAGCTTGAACTGAGTTGAGCCGTAGAAAGAACTGAGGAAAGAGATATTGTGGCTTTAACAACTGAACGTTCACTATAGGTGCGACTATATATGTCATACTAAACCGAGATGTGAATCCGCAAACTCCGCTGGCTTAGTATATGCGATTCTTATCTATTCGTGAAAAGCTAGCCTCTATACGGCAACAGAGAAGAGTTTTCTGTATTTTATCGCGAAAAAAGGATGCATTCCGTCCCCTTCCATGTAAGGGATCCCATAAAAAGCAGACGTTTTGCACGGAAACAAGGTTATTGATATTTTATGCTTTCCGAGAGATTATCTCTTATCTATTTTTTATCTTTTCTCATTCGTTTTTGCGCTGCATCTTCCGTTTGAACACATTTTTACAATATTTGTTTTGCTAAATGATTTTAAGAAACTTAAGCGAAGGCTAATAAAAAATAATTTCAAATTTGTTAAGTTAAATAAATAGAATCGCTTAAAATCTATTTAAGAAAAAAAAAAAAAAAGAAGAGAGCATAGCAAAAGAAAAATACCAGAGAAACTTTCAATTTAAAAACTATTAAGCTGCTTTTACAAAATTGTTTGATTTATATATAACCCTGTGCGGATTTAAATTTCATTTAGAGGAACCAAATATCTGAAATATACGTGGATGTATGAAATTACGTTGCATATATAAGGAAAAAGAGAAAAGCGTCTGACTATCACGTAAGGTATATGTACAGATATGTATATATTTTAGCAAATGTTTTTATGTGCCAACGCCAATCCACACATAACTATAATCTACTCAGAAACACATCATCGAGTATCGAATAGAAAAATGATTGAAAAAAGGAAGGCAAACGAATAGAACGTAGAAGAAGAAGAGGAAGAAAAAAAAAGAGAAATCAAAATGCGAAACTGTACAAAAAGATATCAAATCATACTCACGTTCGATTTTTAACAGTACGGTGCGCTCTTGCATATCTGATGCAATAGGATTGACTTGATAAGCACGACACGTATACTCGCCGGTATCATTTTGTGTAACCGAATTGATGAGCAATCCATCAGCTAAAATCCGGAATTTCGTTGAATTTGCTGCCGAATTTGTTATAGAAAATAGAAATTTTAAAAACAAGAAATTGTATTCATGTTAAGGCGAATCATTCGTATTCACTACACTAATTTTATTTGTCGCTTGACGGGGTTTTTGTTGAAATTTAAATTAAATTTCAGGTCAAATTGATTTGCTGTAGGAGTCGTTTAGCTTAATAGTTATACAAGTCCTTTTTTTAACTTGTTCGCTACTAACCGTCACATATATGTTGCACAGTCGTATTTGATCACATGTTTGCGTCAGTTTAAATGAAGACTTGTTTTACTTTTTTAGAATGCTCTGAGTACACATACGTAAAATCTATTCCAACTCATGTCATGTATTCACGAAAAGAATCATGGGCTTGTGATGGACGCTTTCGACAGGATACTCTCGTAGCGAAAGGGTTAAGCGGATTCCGCGGACTACTTTAATATTTTCTCTTCGGCATTGCGTTTTGATTTGTAAATAAGTCAATGCTAATCCATTCAGCATATACGCATAAACGGAGCTCTATTTGAAGGTTAATGAACGCAAGTAAGTTTAAAAAATTCTAGCTGCCACAGCTTCATGGACCTCGATCTTTGGTTACCATATAAATAATTATTTGCTAAGCTTTAGATGACTCGAGGCTAGCTGTAGTTCAATGCTGCGAAGAAAAGTAGCAGACATATATGGACTGACATAGCTAATTCGCCCGAAAAATTCTTTGTTGGTTAACAAAATATAAGGTTTCTGCCAACTATTTCTGCTTCCCTTTTAACAAGTAAAATGTCAAAATTACTCTGATATCTCATGTTTCGATTTAAAGATGAGAAAGAAAATAAAATAAGCTATCGTTAAAATCAAAGGTTAGAGATGATATATGAAATTTGCTCTTACCAAAGGATGACTTACTTTCTAATGTAATTGGTTGGCCGTTATAATGCCAGGTTACATTTGGTTGTGGTTCGCCCTTCACTTCACACAAAATCGTAGCATTGGTGCCTTCTTTTACCGTTAGTATGGTGGTGTTCTCAGTGAAGGTAATTTTCTCTACAAAAAAAAAAAAAAAAAAAAAAATCACATGAAGATCGAAAAGAAAAGCTTGTTATTTATTTATGTGCTGGCACTTATTTTTTCCTTACTTCCTCTTCTCTTTCGATTTTTATGGTGTGTATGTGTTCGTTCAATTAGTGCTCTTCTTTATTTTTTGCAATTATTATTATTATTTTTTATTTTTTTTGCTCTCTTATTCTATGGCATTACTATTGTTTTCTTTTTTCACTTACGATAGACTATTAAATTGAACGGCTTAGAGGCTTTGTCGCCACCCCCGGCATGCTCGCACGACCAGTCGCCTTTGTCCGCTAACGAAATGTGCATAAACACTAATTTTACATCGTCTGCAACAAGGAGAAAAACGATAATAAAAACAAATGCAAAGGTGAAGTAAGGACAACGTTGTGGACAATAAATTGTGAGATTGAACGACGCCATGACGTTAACAATGCTATTAAAAGCGTATTAAGCGAGCTTTGCAGTCAAACATTGCGTTTTAATGCGATCGTAAATGTTCTAAAATTAATTATCAGTTTTTACCTGATGTCGGACTAGCTTCAATGTGTATCCGTCCTTTGTGTTCTTTGATAATATCACCTTTTGGCGATTTCCAATGGACTTTCGTGTCCGCCAAAGTATTGCGACATAACACAATAAGCGATTCATTGGTATAACGTACCACTGTATGATCGGAGGGTATTAGTCTTAAGCCATCAGTCTCATTTCCATTTTCATGGTGACTGCTACTGCCCGCAACGAAGGCTAATATGCAAAGAATAGGAGAAATAAGACAAAAACAAAGTTTAGCTATGTAGTTATTATCAAAACATAAATATCTCTTTTGCACGGTCGTAATAAGATATCAAGAGCAATGGAAACAAACGAAAGAAAGTATTCTCATAAACTAACCATAAACTGTACACTTTGGCATAAACTTACATTCTTATAATCTATACGATTTGCTAAAATAAACCTACTTTTTAAATTTCATTTGAAAACTTTTTTGAGAGTTTTTGGTAACTTCTTCTTATGCTGTATACGCTATATATACATACCATTTACGACAAGGCTGCTAAAAACCAAAGTTATTTCTATTTCAAAAAAAAACTTTCTTTCTTTTTTTTAAAGAGTCTGTGCAAAACAGAATTCTAAACTAAAGCAACGTACTATAACAATTTTTTCTTTAAGTACATATTCGCAAAAAAAAAAAAAAAAAAAAAAAAAATTAAAATAAAATATAAAAATCGATTGTAGCGAAACGTATGCATAGCTGGAAGAAAACTCTCGAAATCATTAAATTGTTTGTTAGTTTAGAGAGTATGCCAAAGTTAAGCCGAGTCATGCTCGAAATGCTTTACCATTACTGCTTTAGAATGCTAATATTTCAATAAAAGTGCAAGCACGTGATGCGAATTATTTGTTTCAGATAAATTTTGGTTATCACACTTCCACAAATAGATTCGGAGGCTTTCCTGAAGAACGTTGCGGCGCCCACAGCGTTTCCATTGTCTTGCAGTGTGCTAGATCTGAATTATTTGACTTACAGCCATGGCGTATAGACTACTTATGGCTAGTCTTCAAAACTCGCGATAAAAGTAGGCCTAGGCCCAAACCATGACCCACTTTAAGAAACATTTACTTTGCAGGAATTCACCATAATTTATAGCAGTTATCGCAGTCCTATTCCTTCGCCTCGTAATCTCTGTCCAACGTCAACTTTTGAGAGCGATTTGCGTTCTCATTACAAATGTTCGAAATAATTAAAAATTTACAACTACAAAACGGCTTAGAGAGCTGAGCATTCGACCCGCTAGCAATGCTTTTTGTGCCGTTCAAGCTTGCAGTACTTTCGATTTGAATCTTTTCAAACTCAAGCTATTCATCTATCGGGATATTTGTATCCGCCGCTCCTCTGTAATCGAACTTGCTAACTATGTGGCGCCTATGACATATCATGGCTAAATGGCAGCCTGAGCGAAAGCTTTGGCGTCATAATCAGCTGTTATGACGCAGTCTTAAAGGAAGCAAGTGAAAAGCTTAATGAATAAACCTATGAATAAACGATTCAGTGAAATGATGACAAAAACTCGTCTTTGCAATGGGAGGCCTAGTGGTGGCTTATTATTAAATTCTAACAGACTATGATTGAAGCTTCAAACTGTTGGACTATTACTATATTTAGTGCTCTATAGGTAGAAAGCTAATGTCAATAAAACACTTATACAAACGCATAGATAGATCTAAGGCTGTCAGTTTGGCGCAATCCATAGCCTCTTTTTGCGAAACCCGGTTTTGCAATGCTTACATAACATCTTTTATAAAAGCCATTATTTTTGAAAATAGTACTTAACCGTGTTCATCTTATGGGATAAATGAAATATTGTTATGAAAATGAAAAATTGTTGCGTGCAATGCTCACAAAGAGAAAGCAAACGATTGCAAAGATTCACACACGGATACACGAAACGATAAGCAGCTGAATCAATTAAAACACGAATAAATAGTGCGTTCGATGTGCATTTCTGGACATTACGAACAGCATAATAATTTTACTATAACCTTTCCTTTAGCTTTCTGTTTTTTCTTTTTTTTTTTAGGCCCTTGGCGATTCATTTCGAACTCGGTTTATAAAGAAGTAAGGGAAGAAAGAAAGAAAGAAAGAAAGAAAACAATTTTTTTGGAAAATTAATTCTGAAAATTTATTTTAAATTCAAGAACGATACAATGTCTGGGAAACTTGACAGTACCGCAAACTATTTTAAAAAGCCTCAAATATTCTTGTTGTTTGGCAAGGTACACATACATACACGCAAAGCATACAGCAGTTCATAAATGCAGGGAAACACAAGCGTATGCAAGAAAGCAAGAATGTTGGCCAATGTGTTTAATATCAATATCGAGGAATAGTAATGAGGCCAGATGTGCGCCATGCATGATGATATGTTAGAATAGGAATTCTCGTAAGCAAAATTATAGCAAAAGAGAGAGAGAGAGGGAGAGTCTCAAAATATGTGCTTATATCGTGGAAGTGCATGTGTAGCAAAGTGTGTAGCGATGTTGATTGCATTGAAGCATAAAAGAATTGATATAAATCACTGTTAGACAAGTTTCAAAATTGTTCCTGTTATGTGTTGGCGCAATTCTCCGATGCCACAAACATCTGGTCTGATTGCCAATGGCTGTATGTCAGAGTGTCGGTGATTAATGCTGGCAATAAACTTTTCCTTCAATCATAAGAGAACAGGAAAGTGCAAAAACCAATCATAGTAAAAAAAATGCGGCAAAACATTTATTTTATTTATTCTGCATATGCGAATCCATCTCACAGGTCGTGCTACCTGCAGTTAGTCAAAGTTTCTCTTATTGTAATTTTTCTTATGAAAATACATTTGAAAATCATTTTATTTTCTTCTTTTTTTTTTTTTTGCTTCTTCTTAAGCTTATTTTCGTTTGAAATTCTTCTATTTATTTAAACCTATTAAACATGATATCTCTTTACATATGTATATATATATATATATATATATATATATATATAACATATATAACATACTCCATACACACATATACATACATATATGCATTCGTTCATTGTAACTGTTGGAAAAGTTGGCGCTTTAGTAAACTTTACTTGAGTTTACTTATGTCTATGTTTTTATTCTTTTCGAGAAAGAAGCTTAACTTCTAAATCCCTTTTTGACTAGAAAAGGACATAAAGGAGAATAAGGAAGACATGAGGAGGAAGTTGAAGCAGCAAAAGGACTAGATAAAATTGTTAGCTAATTCTTAAGACCATCTATACAAACACATTGCTCAGATTTTAGTCGCACGCTTGAAAAGGATACCATCGATTAAAGAGTACAACTTTTCGAATTTTCAAAAAAAAAAGAAGCGAAAACTTCAAAATGCTTTCTGCGTTAGTTAACTTAATACGTAGCGCAACATAAGCCGATAATGTTAAGAAGTAAGAAAACTTTGCAACGAATCTTATTCACCCATCAAGAGTACGAACAAGGATAAAACAGAACGATCCTGAGAACAGGGACAGCTTTAGTTAGTTTCAAGTCGCTGAAAAGCTATGCAAAGGAGTTGCGATTTCTTAATTCAAGACTTAATTGCTCTTTAAGTTATATAATAGTAATTGCTCAGCATAACAACGTTGCTAAAATGCGCCTTTATTTCAAAAGACGTAAGTGAAAGTTGTTTAAGTAAGTACGATAAGTGTGATATGTACATAGAATCAGGGTAACCGCCAATTTTACTAGTGAGCATACAAAGAATTTCGCACTCACATTGAAGTTTTTATGATTCGGTCACTCATTTGTTGCAGACGAAGAAGAAGAGAGACTAGTGTGTTGTCTCGCAACAACAGTCGTGATATCTTTCTTATTCAATTTACAACTCGTGAAAATCGAGGCGTATGAGTGATCACCGGTTGAAATTTATTTGCACAAAAATATTTACTTCTACTCCGATTATCTTGCATAAAAGAAAAATGTTGACAACTCCAACAAAAGACGGAAGTCAACCACAACTACAGGACGACGTTTGTTAGTTATTCTGTAACGATCTTTGTATTTTGTCACTTCTTTTCAACTATTGGATTTTTGCTTTATCGACATTTCGATCTTCGAGATTCGATATTATTTTTCCGTTTAATACATTTTGATGTTGCAAACAAACTTGCAAAATGATTATACGCCCAATTTTCTTATATACATATATTATAAAATCTATTGCCACAATTGAAATGTAAGATCTCTCTTATTCTATCTTCCAAATAGGAAAAGTTTCTATTTGTAGAGAGACTTTATTACAAAAAATGTATTGTTTGTAAAAGTTAGACTTATATCTTTTTTATTACAAGTCTAAATATATATTCATATATGTTCAGTAGATCATAAAGTCAAAATAAAAGGATTAAGTGGAACTTTCAATTAGTTAATAAAAAGTCCTGTTGTGTGTAACAATTCATAAAATTGTCTTTGACTTTTTAAGTAAATAAGTTACTCGAAGGCTAATATGATTTCTAGTTTTTATTTTGTAAAAGAATGCATTAAAAATGAATCCCGCTTACACTTTAGTCGAACCTTGTGTAAAACGTCTCAATAGATTTGAATTCCATCAAACTTTTTCATGTCTTATGTAGGATTTTCTAGCTGAGTGTCGCGTGGCAAGTTCAGACCACTTGGTACATTATACGATTGCCGTTCTGAAATGTTGTGCACAGGTCTTTAACACATCTTCTTCCCAGCTTCCTGGCTTAAATTCAGGCTTCCTTTCCTTTGAGGTCGTTCGTGGCTTGTGACTTTATTGTAAAAACAAAATAGGCTAATTTTGATATCTCGAACAGCGAAACAAAACAAAAATTTTGGAAACGCAATATTCAAAATCAAAAAGTTGAAGGTTAAAGTTTAAACGAACAGAGGCCCGTGGTGTGCAGATCAGACTTAAGCCGTCTTTGTAAACTCATTCAACGAAATCAGTTTTTATTCTTTTCGCTGCCAGTTGAAGAACGACATATAAGAATTTCGTTAAGACTGAATTTAAAGAAGAATAATTTGAAAACGGCTTTAGCTCCCATTTGTTTTAAATAACTTTTTGCAGGAAAGATTTTCTCATCCTACAATTACGTTAAACATAGCACGGACGTTTTAAAAGCACTCTTTGCTAACTTTTCGGATACATTAAAAACTCTCGGAAAAATTTTAGATTGTTTCCTCTCAATTTTGCTTTGTTCGAAGAGTTCGCTACATGAAGAA